TCTCTCTCTCTCTCTCTCTCTCAATGACACACATAAATACTGACGATAAAAATTAAATGCAGACTATTTTGTAATACTAATTGAAATACTAGTGAATATACACTACATTGAAAGTTACACATATGAAACACCTTTTGAATTCTGTGCTAATCTATTATTTTCTTAGACTCAAACAAATATAATATTATATAACAGTGTATTGTGTTGTGAAATATAATAAGTTTTCAATAATGTAGTTTTTAATGTCGGCATATTTTTAATTTTGTGAATATTTCATATGGTAATTTATATTTTAATTAAACAACTAATTAAATAAGTAAGTAAATATTTTGAACATGCATGTTTGGTTGAAGTTTAATAGTTTAGTATAAATATGTTTCCTGATCATGGTACACGTTTACAAAATTAGCAATATTATTTTACCTTTAGTGTTTAAATAAAAAACAATTGTCTGACATATTTCTGTCAAACAATAATTGTTTAACATTATTGTTAATTATTTTATTACTATATATTTTTATTGAAATAAATATTTTTAGCAATTGTTGCCTTAGAAATCAACATTTAAATATTTGTTAATAAAATTTTGTAATGAAATATTTGTTTAAAATAATTATATTTAATACAAAAGTGTTGTTTTAGTTTATGCTAATTAATTATGCCTTAAATATAAAATAACATTTATTTAAATTATCAATTAAGTTAATTATTACAAATTCCAATTATTATAAAATGTTTACTAAAATAAGTAACTACATGTTTTATCTTTATTAAAAGTGATAGTTTATAACAGATATTATTAGTAAATAATTTGTGTCTAAAGACCGGTTTATTTTAATTTTAAGTTTAAAGCGTCAAAATTAATATTAAATATTTTTGTCTCGTTTAATAATCACTGTGTTGAACTTGGCCATTTATAGTGATTAATTATAAATTATAATTACTTTAAACACTCGGTCTGTATTTTATATTAAAAGTAAAAGTGTAAAATAAACAAATATGTCAGAACTTACAAATCAATAATTGATTATATTATAATTATTATCAGTATTTTTTAAATGTAATGAAATAAAATATGTAAACAATGTTTAAATTTTTATATTAAAAACTTAAATAATTAATAAATGCTGGAGAGAGACAAAAATATTTAATATTAATTTTGACGCTTTAAACTTAAAATTAAAATAAACCGGTCTTTAGACACAAATTATTTACTAATAATATCTGTTATAAACTTAGTATTTCAATTAGTATTACAAAATAGTCTGCATTTAATTTTTATCGTCAGTATTTATGTGTGTCATTGAGAGAGAGAGAGAGAGAGAGAGGTATGAGAATTAAAACCATAACAGAATTAGTAATTAGATACAAAAATGTGCTTATTAATAAATAAAAGTTATAATTTAATTAATGTACAATTAATTTAATTGACACAATAGGCAACACATATTGTATTAACACAATGGGCGCTTGTGTTGGCAAAAACTCGCACCTAAAACATGGCAAACACGAACCCTACCTCCCGGTGCCGGTCAAACACCGTAATTATAACAACAACAATACAAATCATATGATCGCCAAATTCCGGGAATCGCAAACTGACCGGACGTTACCAAAAATATACCGGTTATCCTACCTGAGCAGGCAAGATTTTGACCCTAGATCATTTGATTTCACCGACGAACTGTGCCAACACATACTGGGCTACTTGTCACTGGAGGACAGGCTCAGGTTAGAGTGTGTGTGCATTCAATGGCAACGATTGATATTCAATGGTGTACAGGAGCTACACTACCCGCTACCCCGCGGGCTATGCCCCGCGGTTCAGGGTATGGCCGATAAACAGTGGCTATGGGTGTCGAGGCAGGTGCTCAGAAAGTGTCACGAATTGACCAAGATAAATTTGGTTCCCACGGCGGATACTGATGTGTTGTCAGTGTTGGCCAAACACTGTCACCGATTGGAGGAGATTGAGTGGCGCTTTGATAATCTGAGACCAGTCCGGAGGGAAGTGCTGAGCAAACTGTGCGACGAGTGCGCCGACAGTCTGACCAAAGTTAGAATAAAGGAGTTGTGCGAACGCGAGTTTAATTCTGGTTGGTCAATTATGATTTAATTAATTTTATTTTATAAGTTCGCAAAATAATCGGGTTTCGGAACTTTCCCAAATAGTTTTATATACACATAGCCAATGTACACATAGCCAATAAATCTAATGTAGATTATCATATTAAGTGACAGTTTGTGTATTTTGGGTATAATTATATTTGTTGACTAAATTATAACAATTAAGTATGAGAAGTAATTTTGAAAAGTTAAATTAAGCATAGTGGTTAAGTTTAGGTAAATTTTATTATTAAATATAATTAGTCAATAATGCACAAAAAATAAATAATTTAAACAATCGGACATCTACTTAAAACCAATAGCAAAATATTTCGTTCAATGTATTATTAATTAATATTGTGACTAATTATTGCCAGTTTTTACTTAAACAATCTTTGATTAATTAGGTTATTTTAATAATTTCCCTAATTAATTTTATTTTTATAATTATAGTTTTAATTGTAAATATAAGTTTAAAATAATAATAACTACGTCACTTTTTGACATTTACTCCCTGAGTCTGGCCTATTCATACAGATCGTGTACAGCCAGCATTGTTTTAGTAGTTTTTTAGTAGCCTTTTTACAATCAGCCAAATTTTAAGATTTTATTTGCAATTAGTTTTATTTTATAAATTATAATTGTGTAAAAAAATTTTTGACTTAGATTTATACCAATATATATTATTTTATATATTATTAATTAATATAATATTTATTATTGTAGTAAGTAACAGTTTGTCTATTTTAAAAATAAATATACATTTATTATTAATTATATTTTTTGACTAAACTATAACAATACAATTTGTACGTAATTTTGAAAAGTTCACTATACAGAGTAATCAAGTTAATATAAAGTTTATTATTTAAAGGAGCTTGTCAATGTTGTATAAAATATTAAATAATTTAAACAAATCTATTTCTACTTCAAACCAATATCAAAATATTTTGTTCAATTTACTATTAAATAATTATGACAAAATAATTATTGCCAGTTTTTACTTGAGCAATGTTTAGTGAATTAGGTTAGTTTACTAATCTGTCTAATTATTTTATTTTTATAATTATAATTTTAATTGTAAATATAAATAGAAAAATATAAATATTTTGAAAAATATTTAAAAATTATACTAACCATGGCACTTTTTGACATTTACTCGCAGAGTCTGGCCTATCCATATTAATCGTGTACAGCGAGTACCTCTCAAACGTCACACACGTTTCGGTTGCCTTGGATTCGGACAAATGCCTCAAATACTTTCAACTCTTTGCCGACATATACAGCGAGCGAATCGCTGAATTGGAATTGCAGCTAAAATTCAGCTCCGAGTACTGCCTCGTGGGCGACACATTCGCCTACGTATCCCTATTCCGCCGGCTACGAGCCCTACACCTTACGTTAGAGTCTGTTTCTAACGGGCAAACTCTAGACGTAGAGCTGTCAGCGGGTGCTCAACTACTAGCTACACAGTGCCCGCTGTTGACTAGGGTGACCATCGAGCTCCGCGACAATATCCGGGTGACGGGCGATCAACCAGTGCTGGCCAGCCTATCGTCGCTCACTAACCTGCAGGCACTGGAGGTCCGGATACGGACGGACGGAATAGAGTTGGGCACACTGGACGCGTTGAAACCCATGGTAAAACTACACCAACTTTCGCTCACATACGGGGCACTCACCGATTGGCACACACGTGACATAGCGGACAGTTGCGCCCAACTCAGCCGACTTACCCTCAAAACAGGGCAGCGCCTGTCGGATGAAACCTTATATTCTGTGTCCCGTTTGCCGCGACTCAAGGATTTCCGCCTCTACTGTCAACCCTATGTCACGCAAGACATTGGCGACGCCGGCGTGTGTCATATGGTGGCCAACTGTCACCGATTACAGCACATGGCGCTTGAGTGTGGCGTGAAATGTAGCGAGGTGACATTTTTGGCACTCATAGGCTGGGCTAATAAACGCAAACACCTTAGCCATAGGTTTAGTTTTTCGTGGGAAAGGCCTGACGAGTGCAACACTAGTCGCGATCCCAACGCCAGACTCCCGGCTCACGAGTTATGGCCCGATTTGTTACGGTTGCCCCAAAATTTGACCGTGGTGTGTCGCGAGTATTTTGTGGGTAAATGCGGTACCGGTATGGCTACGGCTATTGAACGCTATCGCCGCCTATTTAAGTGGTCGGCACCGGTAGCTAATGGTGTTGTTGTGGGCGCTGATCAGTTGGACAGCCGGTGTATTAATCGGGAAAGTGTGCGCAGTGTTGGTCACACTAACCCGCAGACACCGCCCGTGTATTATAAGTTTGCCCGCTATCCAGATGTTGTGCCCCAACCGTTATAATTTGCATTTACTTTTTATTTTTGATCATGTTTATGGTTTGATTTCTGTTGTTTTTTGAATATTTACTGGGAGTATTTTTTTAATATAAATTATTTAATTTTTATCTATGTCATTTTCATGTAGTCAAAGGTTAATAATTTAACTATTAAGAATTAATTAAAATTTTTATTTTTTGTTTGTTGATTAGTAATTTGTAATTTTGAATTTATTTGTTATAATATTTTAGTAAAATTAGAATAATAATTAAACATGTTACTATTGTATTGATATTAAATTTATCAATGAAGTTACTTAACATTATTTATAAACCTTAAATTAATAATGGCATATAAAATAAAATACATTATTTTGTTTAAATTATTTTGTAAATGTAAATTCACACTCTGAATAAGCCACGTTGGTCACGTATTTCTCTATCATAATTAATGTGATTTATAAATTGTGAGCTTTTAATTGAGAAGTTAATTGTAATACAACTTAAGAGTTTAACAGTAACTTATTAACTGGATTTAACAGTCATTGCAACTCTCTCTCTCTCTCTCTCTCTCTCTCTCTCTCT